GGAATGCCTTGGTTATCATTCAATAAATTCAGTGTTTACTTGTTGTGATTTAAAGCACCAAACCACTTCACTGCTGGTTTAAGGACTGTTTGTGCCGAGAGCATCTTGTGCTGCTTTGTTTGATGTGTTCAGTGTTGATGTTTTCTCCATTCCAGGGGTAGACACAGATGAGCTGGACAGCAATGTTGATGACTGGGAGGAGGAAACTGTGGAATTTTTTATCAATGAAGAAATTATTACCCTTGCAGAACCAGAGTAATTACTAAAACTGTGGTAAGATATCATAACCTCTCAGCAGAGAGAAACTTTTCTCTGTCAGCTATGGCTTATAGATTTGATAATTTGCTTGAGAAATTAGTTCTGTCTGTTGCATAGCTGAATGTGTTGTTCTCTGAGTTGGTTTGTTTTCTCTGTGGCTAGAAGGGACAAATGCTTTTTTTAAAAATCACTTGCAGACAGTCAGGTTTGTGAGTTGTACTGAGCAAAATACTCTATGTCCTGTCTTGCCTGAGGGATCATACCCACGTCAGAGTCAACCTCTGCACACAGTGTACTGCAGGCACTGAGAGTTCTCTTTCAATAAGAGGAGTTGTAGGTAGTATGAGGTAGGAATTTTGCCTTTTGGAAGGTTTACGTTGTATTTAAACTTTGTCCAGTCTTGAACTAATGTGCTAGAGATTATACAGCAAGTTCACTGTGGGCTAATAAAATTTGGGATGGTGTTTAAATATCCCCATGAACTCAGAAGAGCTGGGTGGAATTCAGGTGGTAGCAGGTTCTTGTGCACTGACTGCCATGGCTTGCTGCTGAAATCTTTTAGTTAATCCAGTGCTTTTCCCAGTTCTTTCTTGTGAATACATACTAAATATTTCATGTTGCAAATGGAGGCTACTTTCAGCCCCTATTGTAGGAAATGTCTCTTAGGGAGCTTGATTGAGGAGGAAAGATATTTTGACAAGCACTCACATAGGACTTAAAACCTGCAATGGGCTCCTGCTGTCATGTTTAGGATCTCACTTCAGGAAGAGGAAGGGGAGACTGGAATTAGGCCTTTTGCAGCTCTAAGTCACCCTGCAGCTCTTTAACCTCCAGAGATCTCAGGAGCTCAAGTGAAACACCAGCAGTTCACCTCTTGGAACTAGAAAAATTAATAGCCTTGATACCTTTGACTGTATTTGGATCTGGCTTGGCTGTGTCCCATACCTGGGAGATCCCTTTATGTAAGGAAGAGGGAGAGAAGCTGCTTAGTGTATGGATTGAAACATGAATTTAGGAACAGGTGAAACCTGTGCTGCTGTGGCCTTTCACCAGTTGGCATCTGAGGTTGAGCTGTTTGTTTAAAAGCACAAGTAACTAACTCCACTCTTTTTTCCTTTCCTGCAGCACCACCAGATCTTGTGCTGAAAAGAAGTTTGTTCATTTTTCCGAAAGCCTACATCAATTTTGGAATTCTTAATCCATATTCTTGCACTCTGGAAGGGTGGATGCACCAGATTTTCTCCATTCTGACACATTGTAGTGCCTTTAAGTCTTGCTGCCTACTGCAGTGAGATCCTGACAAGGCACTGCTTTTAAATTTTTATTCTTTTTTTTTTTTTTAAGGGTTTGACTATAATTTTTTTTTCTTTCTAAATCCACTACTACCAGTATTTACTCCCTGACTCCTGTGCAGTACTTACCAGCTGGCAGGTTTTGCCTCTTGCCAGTGAGGTGAGATTCACCAGTGCACCTCTGTCTCACACACACACACACAATGTTTGGGTTTCAGGACTCTCTCTGTGTCCTGAGGGCACAGACAGGTGTTTGTTTGGGTTGGGAAAAAGTCAACAGAACCATTTCTCGTATGATGTGTTTTAGTGTGCTGAAACAGCACTACAGTGGGCTATATCCTCCTCCTTTCAGATTGTGAAAGGATGTCTCCCTCAAAGAGCTGAATATGGAAATAAAAGCAGACCTATACTAAAACCAGGCTTGGCTACGTGTTGTTTGTAGGGAATCTTTCCCTGAATGATCTCAAACATCACAAAGTAATAACAGTGTGTTTGCTGTATTGACTATATGGATATTTTTTCTTATTCTCTGTTCCTTGTTGCTCTTCTGGTTTTGTGTTGTGGTTGGTTTGGTTTTTACAATGGCTCACTGACCTGACAGGTTGAGCTGTTCACTGTAGTGCAGTGACTAGAAAATGAATGGATTTCTTAAACCATTTGCAAACTGAAGAGTAGGCTCAGGAATTACTGGGTTAGTCTGTCTTATAGTGGTCACTGTAAACTTCCAGAGCAGTGCTCTGGATGCACATGCCTTACACTCCCTGCTATAGTACCTAGTGTTATTTCCAAAGCCTTCCCTGCTCAGCATTACCTAAAGCTGGTGCAGCAGCTTCTCTGTGTATTTATGAGTAGAAATTCTTGTCTGGGTATTGTCAGAGCATAGAATCATCAAGGTTGGAGGAGCCCTCTAAGGTCATCAAGTCCAACCATTTACCTGTCACTGCTGTAACCCCTTAAACCATATCCTCCAGTGCCAGATGCAGATGCCTCTTAGACGCTTTGAGGGATCGTGACTCCACCACCTCCCTGGGCAATATTCCAGTGACCACCCTGACAGTGAAAAATTTTTTCCTAACATCTAATGTGAATCTCAGTCAGGGACACCTGCCTCTAGCCCAGGTTGCTCCGATCCCCACCCAACCTAGCCATGAACACTCCAGGACTGGGGCAACCACAGCTCCTCTGGGCAACCTGTGCCAGTGCCTCAGCACCCTCACAGGGAAGAATGGTGGCTTGAACTTGCACAGCAGGAGTCATTTTCACTACCCTTTGGCTGTGAAGCACTGACTTTTCAGCTAATTTTTAAGTCACAAATTGAGCTGAAAGGTTTTTTTTTCCCTGTCTCTATGCAATGAAGTTTTAATAGGCTACTGTATTTTATTCCTGGTTGTTTTCAGAGAAAGAAATGTAATTACAGTGCTGAATGAATTGAGTTCTCTTCTAGGATGCTGCTTTGAAGTGTGGATCATCAGTGAGGGGAAAAAAAACGAGCCAAAACCCCACTCAAAACTTGTTGCTCCTGCAGGAGCTTCTGAAGTTGACAAGGTGTCCTGAGCAGCAGGTCAGGCATTTTCTTGTCTGTAACATTGGCACTTCCCACACTTCTCTGTTCAATTTTCTGTTCCTTTCTTCAAATGCTTTGTGTAAATTTTGTGCTGCTGACATTGCTTTATGGGGATGTATTTGGTGAATTAGTGTCTTCGGTATATCATGCAGGAACACTGGGAGTTGTAGTAGGGAGGAAGAGTCTTGTTGCATTAAATCCATGTGGTGTGTAGCTAAAGTTCTCTGCCACTGTTTTTCAGCCTGTGGCTCTGAGAGCTTCAGAAGGATGGTCAAAGCAGAAACAGGTTTGTAGGTACTGCTTAGAGTTATGTGTGGCTGGGCTAAAAGGCTTCCAACAGCACTTGTACCCCCACTGAGTGCCTTCAAGGGTCCAGAATTTGGGTGGGAAGGGAAACAAACCTTAAGCATTATGATAGTATCTCTCATTGTTTTTGTTGAAGTATTGTCTTAAGTATTTTTTAATGATTGTTCTTAAATAGCAAGATTAACTGGGAAAATTCCTATAATCCTGGGCTAGTCTTTATTCTCACAGACTGTTTTGAATTTGTAATAAATATTCTCATGACCTTTTAGCCATCCACAGTCCTTAATGCAAACTTCACAGAACCAATTTTGTTCCCTTGCTATAGCTTTAACTTCTTGAATTCTGATATTCTAATACTTTTAATAATTCTAATTATTTTTAATATAAGCCTTACTGTAACTCTTATGAGCTTTGATCCATTTACTGTCAATAAATGATGAAGACAAAAGGTGAATCTTGTTTGTTTGGGGTTTTTTTCTAATAGGTTGTCATAATGAATGGACTGACACTAAAAGTGCTGAAGAATTGCCTTCCTGCGTGTGGGAATTGTGCAGTGAAGTGCACTGGGAGTTTGTTCAGGGAGATGGGCTAAAGTTTGGGCTTGATTTGGGCTTTTAGGTGGGTCATTTTGCTGATCCTAACCTCTTTCCTTGTGTCCTGTGCAAGATGCTGTTTCCTGCTGCATCTTGTCCCTGCACTCACCTCCCACCTGGGGGAGCAGATGTTGCCTCACTTTTCCATCCCTGGGGTGATGGTTGCTGCCTCTGAACCGTTCAGTCTCCTGCCTGTGCAGCCTGAAGGGCTCCAGCTCCATGTGCTCCTCCCTGGGCAAATCCCCCAGCCCCAAGTTGGCACCAGCTCACAGCTCAGCCATGCAGGAGCAACAGCTAATGGTGAGTTCACTTGCTTAGGGGAGGATATGGGATGGGGAGGAGCAGCTGGGCTGTACCCAGCCTGGACATCCTTCAGTATCATCACATACTGTGTTCCCCAGCTGGCTTCTGGTGTTCTTGGACTCTGTGGTGGGGAAAAACCCCTGCTATCTGTGCATGAGCTAAAGCAAAAGTTGTGTCTAAGTGCTCTGCAGAGGAAAATGTGCAGTAGGGCAGGTGAGGCTGGGTAGCCTGGCAGGTGGTGCTGGTGGTTATTCCTCCTTGGACAGTGATCCTCAGTGTGCCCATCTCTTTGGGTCTGAGTGACACTCACCATGAGCAGCCCAAAGCAGCTGGCATTACAGCCCTGGAGTCCTCATCATTGCTGCAGGACCTCAGCATCTCTCTGTGGATCGCAGTAAGATGAATGCTTAAAAAACATCCTCTACCAAGTTTCAACCTTCAGCCCAGTGCCTCTCTGTTAAACTGAAGCACTGCTCTCACAGTGTGCTGAAACAGGACTTTGGGCAGACACAGAGCCCTCTGCTCAAACTGGAATGGCTTAAAATAAAGTCAATAATATGTGGAATACCTTGCATTCCTCTCTAATGCAAGGAAAAGCCTTAGTCTTTGGTGTGACCCAGCTCCACATGCTGCTTATTTGGCTTTGTTTTCTTACCCTCAGTGGCTGGGGCTCCCAAATACTGTGCTTAACTGGACCATTCTGGAGGTTAAGGCTGCCCAAGAGAGACTTGCACTATCCCCTAGGCCTCCTACAGAATTTGGGGTTATGGTGTAGAAGATAATATTTTTAAATGCTTTTAAGAGATGAGTTCAGCCCGTGGGAATGAGATGCTCCTAACAGTGTCACTCAGCTGTGTTTAGGGAGATGATGAAACTGCAACAATTAACTTTGTTCTTGTGAATATTAAAAGCTATCCAAAGCTGAGGAGCTCACCTTGTACTCTGAAATGTTCACAGTGAAGAAATGTTCCTTTGCTGCTGCTGGAGCTACTCAAAATTGTCAATTACAGAGCTTGAGACTGGGAGCTGCTTGTGAAATCCTCATTTAATTGACAGATAGCTTGTTATTGTGGAAATAATTCTGGTTCCTATAGAAACTAGTTGCTTCTGACTGGTGGGGCTGTAGAACAAGTCTGTTTTGCTAACTGCCCACCCTCTGCTACAGCATCATTCCCGTGCATAATGCAGCATTCCAGCAGCATCAGCAATCCTGGCAGGAGCTGCAAAGGGGATGCTACTCTGGTTTTATGAAAGGGAAAACAGCCCTGGAAAGGTGAAAATAGAATTTTTCAGGTCTCTGTTATTAACTGACAGTTCTTAGGTGGGATTTCAGCTAGACCCTCCACCAGGCACACAGGTTTGGGGTTGTGCCACTCACCCACAGCTGCAAAGTGAGTCAAGGCCAGAGCAGGACCCTAACTTCAGGGGGCCAAATTAACCCCACTGCTGATCCATGACACCACATTTTCTCTAGGGCTTCACCTGTGGATTATGCAGGCTGAAATACACGTGCTCTTGTCTGTTATTAAAGCTGACAAATAGGTTGTGCCACTGTGTTTAAATCCTCGAGTCGAATTATTGTCTGTTTTAAACAGCAGCAGTTTCTGACTGATTGAGTTGTGGCACGAGGCACTGGCAGTTAATTGCTACTTTATAATTGCTCCAGTCCTGTGATGAATTCCAGCTCCCAAGGAACCCTGCAGGACCTGCACAGATCAGGGCCAACTTGCTCTGATCTGGTTGAACAGGGTCACAAGGATTGCTACCTGGGATTAAACAAAACGGGTACTTAGGGAAAAGCAATTCCCTTTCTTTGTCGTGGATAACTTTAATCGGTGTTTTGGGAACACCAGCGGGATCTGTAATCGTGTTCAACTCTAGAGCTGTTGGTACCACTGCCCCAGACCTCCCAAGGTTCCTGCTGGCAGCAGCAATGACACGGCTGAGTTCACTCTGCCACCTTCTCTGCCAATCACTTGGAGCCTTGCTGTGCTAGAGACAGAAATGGGGGAAGAGGGAGGAAGAATTTGTCAAGCTAAAGTGCAAATCCCAGGAGCATGAGCTGCTTTAAACTTTATAAACTCCCTTAAACTCTCTACGCTTTAAGGCCTTAAATTTGCTCAGTGGAAGAGATGCAGCAAGAAGCTGTGAGTATTGCTGGTGCTGCCCAGAGCTGCAGGGAGGTCTGGGTGGCCTCAGCACACAAAAGCCACCTGTGTGTGTGTGTGTGTGTGTGTGTGTGTGTGTGTGTGTGCAGGTTGCCCTTTGCATCCATCCCCTCAGCAGAGCCGAGGTGGAGGAAGGAGCTGCACTGGCTGCACACAGGGAGAGTGAGCAGGTGAGCTGGGGGAGCTGTGGTGGGAGCAGGGGAACCCCCACAATGTGGACTGGGGAGTCTGCTGGGTACTACATGGGTCACCACGAGCCTCTGGCTCTTCTGCTTCATGTGCAAGCACTTGCTTTCAAGTCCTGCAAAACTCCTGCCCTTGCTGGAGCACGACAGGATCCAGCTTCCTATGCAATGGCCCTTCTTCTTTCCAGGTCTGCACCTCTCACCTCTTGCTCCCCTTTTTAAGAGGCAGGAATTGCAGAAGGCCCCAGTTTCTACCTTCTACATTGCTGCATCTATTCACATATTTTTATCATGCCCTTGTTATTTACCTTCATTTTCAGCGTAAATCCCATTATTTTCTGTTGTGCTTCAGCTGGTCTTTCTCTGAACACACTAATTCTGTAATATATCTTGTCTCCATGCCATAGTCAAATGATAGCAGCTCTCACAAGCAAAGACAGCATGAATCTCCCTTTCCCCTTTATGGATTATCTTGCAAATGCAATTTTTGTTTAGCACCTTACCCGTGAAATACTCCTTTTACTTGCCTTTCTATTTTTAAAGCAGCCATTAATCTCACAAGGATATCAGCTTTATTTTTACACAGCTTATTCAGACTTGCATGATCTGCCCTGAGATCTATTTTCTCTAATGGAAATCTGGGAAGGAAATGTGCATTACATTAATCTGAGTAACTTCTATCTATGAGAATGCTTTTCTCTTAATAATGCAAATAACTGTAATTATGAAAGCAAATTAATTGACTGGGCAGTTGAAGTACTTAAATTTCCTGGTGCATTTTGATTTGCATTTATGTTCCCTGCTATTTTTACTCCCAGTTGAACTCACTTAGAACTGCCTCTCTCTGCTTATTAATCCTAGCTCAAAATTGACTGTTAGTGGCTTGTTCTGTGTTTATTATTTCCCTGCAACAGAAGAGCATTTGTGCTTTTAGAATATGCTAGTTAGGCAAGGCATAAGCCCCAGATTGGACAGGGAGGACTCTTGGGTGCATGGATACACTGTGAGCAAAATTGGGATGTTACAAGAGCTCAGTAAAAGGAGCCTGAAAGTGTTACAGAACAAACTTCTAAAGGAATCACACTGACCTCATCCTCCAAGCTCTGCTCTTGCCTGTCACACTTGTATGTGCACATGATTAGGTGTCAGTCTGTCTTTTGCAGTCAAATGCTGCTGCCAAGGACAAAACAGGAGTTCCCTCAGGATTTTGTTCTCGTGTTGCTTCAAATTTTAAGGCCTGAGCTGGCCCAGTGAAAACTAAAGAATTTAAAAAACAACAACAGAAAAAGTAATTCTGGGAATTGAAAACGTGCAGATCAAAGAGATACTTGTTAGAGACTTGGAATTTAGAAGGAAATGCAAAAGAAAACCCAAAGTTTTGTCATTTCCTGAACTCCAAGGGCACCTGTCCTGAATACCTCTATCTCTCCTGTGCCTGGCACACCAGTACAGTTATTCTGTTGGTCCAGTGTTGATCTATGCTCTAATTGCTTATCTAATGATCTGTTTAGCTGAGGCAGAGTGAAACTACCTCTGGACTAGGAGAGAGAGGGTTCTCTATGCTTCCCTTGAGCCTTGAGCATCTCCTTATGGGCCATTTCAGTGGAGAAAGAAACCCATTCTCCACAGTAACTATACACTATGATAATCATGTACTAAAATAGATACTAAGGGGCTAAAAAGATGCAGAACCAGTTCTGTAACCTGCTGCAACTCCTCTCCTACCTTTATCTTTTCTTTAACATGGAATGAAGTTTGTCTTTGGGCAATGCAGATATTTCTGTCAGTCCTTCTGCACGAAAGGCTGTGGAAGATGACTTTGGGCAATTTTGCTTCTGAGGAACTTAACTATTTTGTTTCACAGCAACTCTGTCTGAATCTTAGCTGAGAATTGAGGTAAGAGGTCCTGTCCCCTCTGCCTGCAGGGGGGTGGTTGGGTCCCTGCAGCCACTGCTCTTACCCAATGCCAACGACTGTTTCACTGCTCAACCAACCTTCAAAGCACTTTGCGGTTCCCCAAATTACTGTTTGCACCATCAGTTGCAAAACCAAGTCTGTCACCCTCGTCACTGTGCCTATAGGTGTTTTTCAGGCAAAGCTGCAGTGCAGCATTCCTCTGGCCAAAGGATAGTGCTGTAAGGAATCCTGAAACTCAGATCTAACGGTTCTTCTTCCGACTTCATCCTGCAACAGAGGCTGGTCCTGATGGATCCAAATGAAGATCCAGATGACATCCTGAGAGCTAACAGATCCAGAGAAAAATCGTTTGTCTTTGACATGGTTTTTGATCACACCCAGGTAACAGCCTTCCCTTTTATTAATCCAAAGGCTTAACGTTGGACCTGTCCTCCTTGCTCAGATGATTGTTTCTGGCAGGTGAGTAGAACTGCACAGCCCAGAGGCCATGTGTCACCCAGATAAAAGGTGACAGTGCTAAAGGTGAGAGGACTGTGAGGGTTTTCCTTTTCCACAGAAGCAGGGAGACACGTGCAGTGTTCAGTCTGCCTCTCCCTCCTGCACTGGCTCTCCCCAGGTGCAACACACCTGAGCAGGGATGAAGAGCTTTGTCTCCTGGGGTGTCTGGTGAATGAGATCATTGTCATGTTGCTGGCTCTGTTGCCCACACACCTCTTCCCTGTGCCTCTGTGGTTTTAAAGGCTCATGAAGGGAGCTCTGGTGCCCTCACTGAGCTGTGTTTTGCAGACAGGTGTAAGGAGCACTGTGAGGATGTAATCAGCACCTGCATTTTGTGATCACCACACTGTGACTGCAGCCTTTGCTTCTCACAGCTGTTTGGTCATCTCTGTTCTCGTTCACATCAAACACTGCAGCACCCTCCTATGCTACCTAAAACATTTTTTAGAGGCCTAGTGGAACTTCTCAGTAAAGGATAAGATCAGGGAGAGAATTTATTCTCTTCCTCAGCAGACACAAAGAAGAAAACACAGCATTTCAGAGAGTCCAAGAATATAATTATATCCAGGAATATTTCTCTTAGTAGGCTCCTGCACCTTGCCTGCCTTTAGAAAATTCAATAAATCTCTGCTTTTCTGCTCATTTTGACATTGTATCAAAATCCAAATGGTTCACAAATCCTTCCACAGCCCAGGAAATTTCTAAAACTCAGTGAGAAAATCATGGGGAATTCAATTAGTTATAGATTATTTGGACAGCTCTCATGCCTGACCAAAAATCTGTGCTTGTTTTGACTGAATTAGGAGGAAGTATATGTGTCCACGACCAGAAGCCTCATAGAAGGAGTAATTTCTGGCTACAATGCAACCATTTTTGCATATGGTCCAACAGGTAAAATGATCCCTGTAGCTGTACTGCTCCAAATGAATAAAATATAGCTGTGAAAACCAGAAATATAGAGCCAATTAAGTGCTTGCAGTGAGGACAAGGCTGAAGCATTAAAATACCATTCTCATGGGAAGTGTGAACCTCACTTAAATGCTAAAGTAACAGTGAAGCTGCTCTATTTGAAAAGTCACTTAATTGAGGTAAAACTCAGTGGAGACAAAGCTTCCCATTAAAAAGCAGGAGGTGATGAGGGCATCTGTGCACTGCTGGAGGCTGATCCCAGGAGAATAGATGAAGCTATAGAAAGCATTTAGAAACTACAGAGTATATGAAAATATATTCCTACTCTAGCTCTGAACACCTAAGTGAGCAGTAAGCCAGTCCCATTCCCACCCTTTTTGGATGGTCTCTCCTCAGGCAGAGTCATTGCAGGGTGAGAATCTGGAATAACTGGAGGAAATTAGGGGGTGAAGGACAGAGATCAGTAGGAAACCAGATATCGTTTGTCATGGAAAGTTCCTCATGTGGAAATTGGGCTCTGCTGATGTTCTCTGTTTCTTTAACAGGAGCAGGAAAAACCTACACAATGCTGGGGACAGACTGTGAACCAGGGATTTATGTCCGTGCTCTGGATGATCTCTTCAAGGCCCTTGAAGCCACCACTGAGGAGATGGATTACACAGTCTCCATGTCCTACCTGGAGGTGAGGTGTCTGTGTTGCCTTGGATCCAGCCTCTGTGGAGCAGGTGCAATGGGAAGTGGGGCATCCAACTCTGTCTGTTGAAATGTAGATAAACTCAATCCTCTTTGTAGGTCTAAGGATCCAATGCTAGTCTCAAACCAACCTGTCATTTCTTACCCTCAGATCTATAATGAAGTGATCTGTGACCTCCTGAACCCATCCTCGGGGTTCTTAGACCTGAGAGAGGACTCCAGAGGCAGCATCCAGATAGCAGGAATTACAGAAGTCTCTGCTACAAAGGCCCAGGAGGTACCTTGGGCTATGGTCTGCAGTAAGGGGAAAGGGAACAGGCTTTGTGCTGTCATGCATCAGTGCTTTAAACTTTCTTGTTGTTTTCCTATTGACTGTGCTTAGTAAATAGTAAGGACATTTTCCAGCAGGACTTTGGTGGGACTGGATTAATGTGATGAATTGTATGGAGAGAGCTGATGACAGAGCCATGTGAGTGGTAGGAACCAGGGTAAAATCCCCAGCTGACCTCCTGCTAGCTCTGCCTCCCCGGGGTGCACACTGTGCTCCTGGAAGGACCAGAGTGCTTTGATTTGTGTACACATGTGTCAACAACCATTTGGAGAGGGAGAAGAATTAACTAAACCCCCTTGAGCGACATGAATGTGCACTTAAATGTGTGTCTTGGACTTGAAATGAACAGGCCTCCTAGAAAACAGTCTCAAACCCAACAAACACACACTTCCAAAGTCACGAGCCAAAGAGGAAGATCTGGGGCAAATCAACAGCAACCCCCTTACCAGCACAAGCAGGACCAGAGTTTGCCAGTGGCCTGGGCGAGGGGTTTAGTCTGAGGGAACACCATGCTGAGGCTCAGGCAGAGCTGTACAGCTTTCCTGCTTCCTTTAGATCATGCAGCTGTTGATGGAAGGCAACAAGCAGCACAGCCAGGAGCCCAGTGCAGCCAACAGGACATCCTCCCGCTCGCACGCAGCGCTGCAGGTGACGGTGACGCAGAAGAGCTGGAGGAAGGAGACTGGGGAGGAAGTGCGAATTGGGAAACTCTTCATGGTTGACTTGGCAGGGTCAGAGAGAGCAGCTCAGGTATGGCTGGAGCTCAGCAGCTTTTAGTGAGACCTGACTGGATTCCCTGCCCTGCTGTGCAGGATCTGCCTGTCTTTATCCCCGGGGTGAGAAACAGCACTGTGTGCCTCTCTGCTGCTTTAGAGCAGCAGTTTGTGCCTGAGACACCCGAAAATAAAGACAAAGTGTGAAGATATCATCAATATCTTTGACTAGACCAACTATTACAATAGGAAAAACATAAATCAGCTTTTGGGTGCTGCCTTTCCTCAGGTCTGAAAACCAGTAGTGAATTTCATGTCTGATGAGAAGCTGGGGTTATATTAGGCACGGATCAGCTGGGCTTCACAGAGAAAGCTGGTAACACTGGAATAGAGGGATGCTGGTGGGTGGAAAATAAGGCATCTGGTTCCTATGGGAAGGAGGAAATGGTAGAACTCAGGGAGGTGATTTGAGGAAGAGAGATTTTACATAGCCAGTATTTGTACTGAGATTTGTACTGGGATTTCTGGAGTGCTGTATTTATGAATCATGGTTTCTGAAATAATCTTTAGAAGACAATTCATAGCTATCTTTTAAGAACCAAGAGGTCAGAGCTAGGCCATGTTCCAAGAAACACACTCCTACCAGCTCCTTGATGCCTCAGGGTGGGGTTTAACCCTGCACTTTCAGGCTGATTTTGCAGGAGGCATTGCTTGGATATCCGAACCTTAACCCCAGTGCTGCTGCACATCTTCCCCAGGCACAGCCTCACTGTTCTGAAGCTTTTGCTTGTCTGTGCCCCACTTCTCCTCCCACCAGACTCAGAACCAGGGCAAGAGGATGAAGGAGAAGGAGCTCACATCAACCGCTCACTGCTGGCTCTGGGCAACTGCATCAACACCTTGAGCGAGAAGGGAAGGAGCCAAGCCCAGTACGTCAACTCCTGAGACAGCAAACTCACTCGCCTGCTGAAGGTGCAGTACAGCACACTGTGCTCAGCACAGGGCTTGGGTGGTGCTGGTGTCACTGCTCAAACTGGGCTTGAGGGCTGATCATTTAATGTCTCTGTGCATTGTCATTATCCAGCTCGGAATGCCCCCGCCAGGATCTTGCGTGAGCTTCGCAATGCGCCAGGGCTAGACCTGGACAGAGTTGTCTTTGTAACATGTTGTGATCACTGTGGTTAAGGAAGGACCTTCTATAGGGTTAAAGAAATCCTATAGATTTGGGTTGTACATCTCTGAGCTCATAGGTGACCAGTGATATTTTAAATTAACTTACTGCCTTTGAGTGTTTCATCCCTTCCATAAGATTTGGCTGAAATTGGCCAATAAATTTGTTGGGACAGGAGGAAGGAAGACTGAGAGTGACTGTGTGCTGTCATAAGTGGTCTCTCCCTTTGGAAATCAGAAAGGTTGCAGACATGCTCTGTGCCAGGCTGGTTATTTTATGGATACCTTGCAACCTCATTTATGAACTTTGCCTCAAGCTTCGGTGCTGAGCTATCGCTGCTGCTGCATGACAGATGTGTTTTCCAGAGGATAGTAGGAAAGGAGGAGAGATGGAGAGAAAGGCAGGCTCCTGTCGTGAGCAGAATTGAGCAGCTGCCAATGCATTTGTGGAAATTGCGAATTTCTTGCAAAAATTCTTCTTTTGTAGCAAGTTAATTACTTATTGATTTTGCTGTTGATGGAGAGAGGGTCTAATGAATGGTCTTTTACCAGCACTTCCTTCACTCCTAATTGGGATTCTCCTCCAGAATCTCAATGAACTGTAGGGGTACCCGGCCACAGTGGTTACCACTGAGCAGCAAAACCCTGTCACATCCACACTAACCACATCAATGTTGCATCCCTCCAGGACTCCTTAGGGGGCAACAGCAGGACTGTTATGATTGCACACATCAGCCCAGCCAGTTCCTCCTTTGAAGAATCTCAAATGACCTTGATCTATGCCTATCGAGCAAAAAACATCAAGACACAGGTACCAGGGCAAACAACTCCCAAGGAAGTGGGGCTGATAGATTAGGTGAAGGTGGTGAGCACTGGCACAGGTTACTCAGAGAAGCTGTGGGTGTCCCATCCCTGGAAGTGTTCAAGGCCAGGCTGGACAGGGCTTGGAGCAACCTGAGCTAGTTGAAGGGGGCAGGGGGTGCGACGAGATGATCTTTAAGGTCCCTTCCAACCCAAACCATTTCAGGATTCTATGATTAAAAGCTTGTAAGAGGAAATGAAAGATGTAGTGATGAAGGGAGAACAAACTTAAGGAGGGGGCAGTTGGTGTAGAGGCTCAGTGTGAGTGAGAGAAGAAATGCAGGTGAAGGGAACAGTAGAAAGCAAATTGTGTGGGTTGTGGATGAGAAGAGGATTATGAAGGTGGAAAAAAGAGGGCAGAATCATGGAAAGGCAAAGGATCATGTGCCTGGTATGGATCTAGGTGCAGAATATAAGGAATGATGGTTGGAAGATGACTGCTAGGAGGACAATGTATGGGGGATGCTGAGCCTGGAAGAGGAACTGAGGCACAGAAAGGAAGAATAAAATGGAGAGGTCTGTGGAATGAAGGAAGGTGAACAATGATCTACAACAGGGTTTTCCCTCTTTGTGGATCTCTGTTTTTCCTGTGGGCACAGGTCCCTGGATTTTCTCTGCTACCTTCTGGGAATTTTCCAGAATTAGGGAAACCCACCAATTTCCAGTTTCCCCACTCATAAGGGAAAATCTTTCCCCATCAGAAGATCCAGTGCCCTCCAACTGAAATCGTAGCTTTGTTTTTGCAGCCATTGTACTAATGACAGATCATGGGACAAACACTCATGTATTCTGGCTCCCCAGGTAAAATATAACCTGAGGAATGTCTCCTGCCACATTGACCAACACACCAGCATCATTGCAGAGCTCTGCAGGGAGATCGAGCAGCTGAAGGGGAGGGTTGAGGACCAGGAGAAGGAGAGAAGTGCAGTCAGCCCCAACCTTGATATTCTGCAAGGTAAAGCCAGGAACAGAACTGTTCTGGGATGTCTGGTGGGACAAGAGCAGGAGAGGAGCTGTGTGGGTGGTTGTGGCAGCACTTGGTGGATCTCCATGCAGACATGGCTGGGGGAAGCTGGCCCAGCAATGCTTGTACAGAAGCAGTGTGAAGAACACAATCTGATGGGTAGTGGAGGCAGGTGGGGAAGCTGAAAGTGTTTTCCTCCATGAGCCTCTCTTTGATGCACTGTGTGACTCTGGCTATCACCTTTCTCACCATCTTCCTCAGCATTAAAATGTGTAAAATTTCACAAACCTGCTCTTGAAAAGAGATTTGACATGAAACCGTGCCATTTGCTGTGGGAAGTCCTGTCTCTCACAGAGAGGTGACCATGTTTGTAGCTTTGCATCATCACAGGCTCTGAGGCTGTGTCAGAACACCAAGCTCTGCTCTATGGTTCATTGCATGTAATTAAAAAGAGAAAAAATGGGAGATAGGCAGGGCAAAGATTGTAGAACACTGATTGTTCTGCCCTGGGGATTGTTCCTTTTGTCAGTGAATCTGGCAAGAAATGAAGTAAAAAATAGTCAAGTTCTCTGACAGACTAGACACAGATATAATAGGCCTCTGCTACCCATATCCAAGGTCATTTCTAGATAACAAGCACAGAAAACTGATACCTTTTTGGTGGGTGGAAAGGCAGAAGAAAAGTCCCTGCAATGCAGTATCCTCTTAATATTCACAAAAGCAGAGCAGTGAGCCCTATTTATTGCCAATAATACAATAATAAAGCTATATCAGATTTCTGCAGCACATGATGAACTTGACAATACTGCAGAATGAAGCAGAGCCCTGTAAATGAACACCTTGTAACACACAGAATGAATGGCTTGGTCCCAGAGTGGCTGTGGGGGGACTTCACAGAATTTCACCTGGCCTAACATCAAATCAGATATGTCTTCTCCTGCAGCAGAGAGGGACCAGGACTCTGAGGCACACAGCAGCCAAGAAATGAACACATTGCAGGCACAGTGGATCGAGGCTTTCAGGGAGCAAATGGAGATGTGTCATAGCCTGATGGAGCTGGAAAACACCAACACTGAGCTGCACATGGTCACCTGCAGGCACCTCCTAACAATCACAGAGTGAGTACCTCCCTAGCTTCCAGCATGATGTATACAGGGACCTCCAAACTCACCATGAGAAGTGAGTAACTGTAGCTCCATAAGACAACCAGCACACAGAGCATCGAGTTTAGGCTCAAGACTAAAAGTATTAATGGTAAATACCTCACCTCTTTTGGTCCTTATTCTGGACTTGTGTTTTAATGGAAAAACTGGATGGAAGTACAGACTGGGAATACTGGTCCTTCCCTAGTCCAGTCACTCTGTGCTTGTGAAGTGGTTTTAATCCAGATGCAACTGCATCTGGGCATGATTTAATGCCAGAAAAAGCAGCAGCATCCTTTTCTTCTGGATAAACTTTTAAGTAGGTGTTAGTTCTGTATCACTAGTCACCACCTAATGCCTCTGTAAATTTTATAGTTCATAGAATGGTTCAGGTTGGAAGGGACCTTAAACATCATCTTGTTCCAGGACCCCTGCCATGGGCAGGGACACCTTCCATTGGGCCAGTTTGCTCAGTATCCTATCCAGTTTGGCCTTGAACACTTCCAGGGATGGGGCAGCCACAGCTTTCTTGAGCAAACTGTTTCAGTGTCTCACCACCCTCACAATAAAGAATTTCTTCCTGGTATCTAATCTAACCCTGCCCTCTGTCAGTCTGAAGCCATTCCCCTCTGTCTTGTCACTATATGTCCTTGTAAATAGTTTATCTCCTTTTTGTAGGCTCCCTTCAGGTACTGAAAGTTCTAGTTCCTTAGGATTTGAGTCATTTGTAGTTGAAACAATCTTCAGGACATTAAAGATATTCCACAAGTACCTGTGACTAGGCAACAATTTATGTTGAGGGTGGGGAAAGCACAGTTCTTGCCAAGGAAAGGTCACAAAAAAGGCCTCCCTTACAGATTTCCAAAGGGGAGGAAGCTGATTGTGCTGTTCTGTGTGGTTTGTCCAGCTCCAGAGCAGCCTGGACTAATTAGTTCTGCTGCTGTCACGGAAGAAGGAGTTGGGCAGACACAATGAAAGGTCCTGCATGCATCACTAGAGTTATGTCACCACGTCCCAGAAGTTCCTTTCTTTTTTTTTGCTGGCAGCTGGGAGCAAGAGAAGGCTCAGGGTGCATGTAAGGATGATATGCCAACAAAGGAGGAGAAAGGAGAAAACATGGAGGAGGAAGGCAGGGAAGCAGATGTCATGGATTCACCTGAACCCCATGAAGTTACAGCAGCAAGAGAAGAGATCAACTTGCTGCTGGCAGAGCAGCACAGGACAGCAGCCCTGAAGGTGAGGAGGTGAAGGTGAAGGATGGCAGCAGCATAACTCAGAGGTTCATGTGGTTTTGAGCTAGCACTGCAAAAGCAATGGGACAACTGGACTCCAGCTGGACTCCCAAATACTTTGGGCTGCTGAAGGAAGCAGCGTAGGAACACTGATGTTTGCATCCTACCTCTGTCCCTGTGGTTTTTAGGATGAAGGAAAAACACCCTCTGGGCTTGCACACCTATAAGTGAGCTAATACTTCCCATTTCAAGGGTTTGTCCCTCACTGGTTGTTCAGTGTGTTGGTAATCACTTCTAGTGATTATTTTTTGGTAGTTCACATTAATGTTTGTGAGTTCCTCCAGGCAAGGACTGTGCGTTGTATATATCTGCCATGACTGGAACATGGTGACTGATAGTAGAACAAGCAAAATACAAAATACTTTTTGTAGATATCACTTTAATCTCAGCATGAAGGACACAGCAGAGAATTGCTCAGATGCCTTTGTTGCCCCAAGAAGCTGAGCTGCCTTGGCAAACCCCTATCTATCATTTTCAGACAGAGCTGGAGCAGCACTTAGCAAATGCCAAGGAAAAAGCTTCCCAGATGGAGGAGTTTTTCCCCAGACAAATCACCAGTGAGGATCAGCAGGAGGTGCTAAGACTTCTCTGCAGGGCCCATGAACTTCAGCTTGGCAACACAGAGCTGCAGGCAAATACACTGTACAGGGAGAATCTATTGTGCCAGAATGATTTTTGTGGTCCAGCAACTGCAGCAGCACATGCTGCTCTACGAAGAAATTATTCAGCAGCAGCGAATGCTGATAAAAGGTTAAACAGCATCTTTGCTCCTGCTCTGTCCTTAGCTCCAAGCTCTGCTTTCTTATGGCAAACTGGAGAACAATCCATCCAGAAAACATTGGCTTGGATGTCATGGCTCCATGGTTCTCTAGGAATGGTCTTTAACTCTTCCTCCCTATGTCTGCTCCAGCCCAGAACATTCCTGTCCCAGAGCCACTGGCAGTTACACCACCTGCACCACTCTGAGCTGGAGGAGGGGGTGCTGAACCACCTGCTGCTGCTCCACTCCGTGATGTCCAGCATGCTCAGGGTGAGGCAGAGCAGTCTGTTGTGCTGCAGAACCTATGCTGTCCCATGATGATGTGTCATGGCCATGGATTCACACACACACAAAGTCTGGCTGGCTCCTGGTGCCAGCCAGCAGCTGCACAGAGAGTTTGTTTTATGAACATGTTGTCCCTGGAGCTCTGCTCTCCTTCCCTCCTTTGTCTTGCCTTGGAGAATTAATAAGGCTTTTGGTGTGCAAAGGTTAGATGGTCAAATATGCTTCAAGTGACTGCTGAGGAGATTGTCTTGTCTAGAGGCCTCTGCTTGCTCATGGCACCGTTGTTACTGAGGTCCTCAGGTCACTCCTGCCAGAAAGGAAAGATACTGCTGGTCCCTTTGTCTTTGGAAAACTTGTGTGTTTTGAGACGGTAAGGGGCTGCCAGGAAACTGACAGTCTTCAGCAGGGAGTCCAAGCAGCAGCCTCTCCTGTTTATTATGATTGTCTAGGATGAATAGGGCAAGGAGTTGGGTTTCACCTTGAATAATAAGCTTCATGTTAGTCATGTTGTTATATGAGAAATTAAACTATTTTGGGTGCCCCTCTACAAGAAGGGAGCAAATAACAGGTGGTTGGAACTATGCAAAAGCACACATGAGGTATCAAGGGTGTCTTTGTGACCACAGGCTAAGAGTTTGGGGTAGAGAAGGGGCTTTAACAGTGAGACAAATCTGCTAAAGATCTCCTTCTTCTCGCTTCCTGCAGCCCCACAACAGCCCTTCTCTGGATGTAAGTCAGCATCTGGATCCTAATAAAGATGAGATCAGAAAGAGCCCATCTGGGAATGTGAAGGATATTCCCTGGGGGTTGAAGTTCGACATTCCCTCCATCACCCTTGAGTCAGACAGGTACTGTGAGCCTTTCTCAGTATTAGACTTATTCTCTAGTGTATGGGGACCTGACAGCTCCCAGCTAGGTCTGCAAAGCTGGGAGATATCAAACTGGAAGGACCTCTAGAAATTAGACTCTGTTAGAAGAGTTTCCTGGTATGTTGTTCTTGCAAAGCAGCTCTGTGTTTTAGCAGGAGCTTTCTCTGCAGAGGGCTCTGGGACATGTTTGGGTTTGCTTCTGCTGACAGGCAAGCATTTAGAACAAATAAAGTAGCAAAGTTCGTGAGGAATTGGGGGGCAAAATATCTCTCCTTCATGAATCCTCAAGTATTCCTTGCTGTGTTCTTTATTACTGTGTTTACCAGGTTTCTAGCTTTCCCCACAGCTTGAGAGCTCTCAGCTAGACATGTTTCATTTCTCCATGTTGATAAGGGGTCTGTGCTTTCATCTGTTAACCTCTTGGCTTATTCTTTTCACAGTGGCAGCTGCAGATCATCTAAAATGACACCCCATAGGAAGAAGGGGTCTCTGGACACCCATCTCAGCCCAACTTTGTGTTTACCAGGTTTCTAGCTTTCCCCACAGCTTGAGAGCTCTCAGCTAGACATGTTTCATTTCTCCATGTTGATAAGGGGTCTGTGCTTTCATCTGTTAACCTCTTGGCTTATTCTTTTCACAGTGGCAGCTGCAGATCATCTAAAATGACACCCCATAGGAAGAAGGGGTCTCTGGACACCCATCTCAGCCCAACTTTGTCTGGTTTGTCAAAAAGTTCAGCAGTGTATGGCAGGAATTGAATTTAAGGCACATTTGTTGTGTGATGACAGAATAGGCACAGCAGCTAAATCCAGTGTATGGGAGAAAGGTAAACCTTGGCAGGCAATAAAATCACTACTAGAGCACTGGCCTTGGGTTTAAAACCTGGAATTTACTTAAGAGGCCAAGGCTTATAGCCATTTCCAGTTTAGACTCTCCCTCTGTGTGAACCACCCATTTCCAGTGTGTCCAGTGGAGTGATGTGAGTTTTAAATACAGATACACCATGCAACCTGATGTGAGGGTTGTCCAGGATGAACACCTCTTTTCTAATGCCATTGACTGATCTGTTGGGCCCTGATTTCATGACTTTGAGACCAATTCCATTCAGGACTCTGGAACGGGAGAGAGAGCTAGAAACTCGTCAGTTTCTTGGTTACTGGCTGACTTACTTTGTAGCCATGGCTCTGTATGGGAGATACAGAGTCAAAGAGCTTTGCCTTTGTTTCTCTGTACACAGGAGTTGTTACAACATTTCAGGTGACATTTAACATCTTTCAAATGTCTGAAAGTGCTTTGAAGGGGGAAGTATAAAAGCTTTGATTGGAGAGCAAATTATGCTGCAATTGCTTTGATTTTTAGCAGAAACCAACAGATGTTGCTGCAGGGACTCCCAGACTGCATTCCCCCACCTCTCTAGGCTTCCATGGGAAAAAGTCACCTGCAGACATTGCTGCAGTTCCACTGAGCCCAGAGACCTCGGAGCAAATTGCTGCAAGCACCAAAAGCATCTCCCTCATTGCAGCCAGTCACCACTCCAGAGCACAACACAGAGACCCTGGGAACAAAGCCTCCTCAGCCCAGTTCTCTGGGGAGAATGTGCTGAAGTGTCCAAAGGGCAAATCCACCCCAGACTGTCAGACAAGAGACAGTGCATGTTTTGGGGGTTTGCTGTTGGATCCAGCAGCTGGGAGCCAGCTGTACTCCCCAGCCAGGGGAGTGCTAAAACACAGGAGAGACCAGGAGATGCCTGCTGAGAGAACAACCAGAAAG